CTGTTTCAATCCATGATTGCATGTCATTAATCAGTACTGTGTAAACGATTTCACAAACATGTATTCACAACTAAGCACAGTTGTTATTTTCAGGCTGTTATACCATTTTGATCACAACACAGTTAATTTTAAAAACATATAAATCAAAATTTGGTATCTGTGGCCTGTTCGGTTGTTATTTAAAATTGTCAACTGCTTATTATCTTCACCTGCCATCAGTTCATATGTATACTGTTCATTTATGTCTTGTCTTTTGTTTTTAGAACATTTAGTTCAGTTTTGGGCAAAACACGATAAAGGATTATTGATTGGTTTGTGACAGTCAGTCACCATTACTTTTCACGACTTAATAAAACCAGATCTGAGTTTTCAAATAAACATGCCTACTTTCAATTAAAGCCTGATAATTTTGGTAAAAATACATTTTTCACAGGTTAATGTATCTAATAATGATAGAGCCATCATCATAACAGTGTGTATCTATAAAGTACATGGTTGATTAGGTAGCAAGGATAAGTGTCAGGTTATTAAACGATGCAAATTTGAATACAAGTACAATGCAAAGTTCATAACCCCTATAAAGTCCAAGTCTGGCAAGTATAGTAATCTACCATTGTTCAGCAATGTGTACACTTACAGTGAGTTACACTGATGTGTGCAAAAAATCAGATAAATCTCATAAATATGTCATTTATATGGGAGAGATTAGATCTTAGATATGTTATCAGTACGAATGGGTTTTTTAAGTCGTTTGCCTGGGTTTTTTAATAACAACATAAGCTACGTTCTCACACGTCTAAAAAACGCCGATGTTGACAGTTTTTTTGTTGTGCAAATATTAGATAATCTGCTGAATTGTCTGCTCACGTTCTCACTTAGTAAAAACACAGGTGTTTTTCGCCCTCAAAGAATCATATCACGGAAAGGTCAATAAACAAATGGAAAGGTCATTCGACAAAATGGCGACCCCTCTGGTAAATGCATTTGCTTTGTTCTTGTTTTTTCGTGTGTTTTTATGCTCAAGAAGAAAGCATTGACAATCGATTAATCAAGATTTCGAAGAGCAAGAAATCGCTAACTTGTTAGGTCGAATAAGACTGAGAAATGATCGGTTCATGTTCACGCTATTCGCGTGTATGAATAACACAACAAAAGACCCAGCAACCCGTGTGATTTGGACAACGCGGAAATAACTGGTGGAAAAAAATAGTGTTACAAACGTGGGATAAGAGAAATTTGCTAGAAAATTCGACTTGTACTCTGACGCCATCTTGTGTAATGTAAAGCATAAATAAGTCGGCAATAGAGGGCTTTTGGCCGTCATATTGTGTTCACACAGCACATTCCATTGTGCAAGAGCTGGTGTGACAATGGCGTTTAGGATCTGGTCCACCCCTTTTACGACGGTGTGAAAAACGCCGACGCCACAACGGCGTATTCTGTTCCCACACACACATTTTAAA